TCTTTTAGTTCTCAGAAATGATTCCCAGATTCTCTTAGAGAACAGTCATCTGAATTATTTAAGAAAAAAAAGGAACTTTATCAGCAATGATGCTGCTGTAGAGACCAAAATTTGTGCAAAATACAGATTAAGAAACAGACCGCACACAAAAAAAGAACCAAGCCATAGTTCCCCAATATTGGTGGCTCCTACACTAATTCCAACATGGGAGACAACTTAAATAGTGCTAAATGAACTAAAGTGTATTTAATTATTTTGTTGTAAGAGCATTGTGATATATAATGCAAAATTAATGAATACATTCTGATATTGCAGTACTTGTCGCATAGTGGTGGGTTTAACACAATATGGTCATATGGTGGAACTGAATCCCAATATTTGATTGCCGAGATAGGTGATTTTTAATAGCCTTGTTAAATTTATAGCTGTATTTTTGTGTACGCAGTTCCTTAAGCTGTATGTTTTATACATTTTGGGCTCTACGCCAACACCACTGCTGAGAAAGGCATGTTTTGGATTTGCCCCCAATTGTCTTTTTTTTTTACTATGTATGTTTGGAATCCAGACCAGATTCCTTTTCGGTTGAGCACTCCGTCCAGCCTCCCAACTTCAGATGCCCCTTTGGAGGTGACCACAGGAAAGAATAATTTTGTTGAGTAGGTGTAGTATAGTAATGTCACTTTAATTATAATTTGAATTAGATATAGAGCATGTATATAAATTGCATTGTGAGTATATACATTAAATCACTATCATTTTCAATGGTTAGTTTTGACACTTTTTTTGTTTTTGTTTTTAATTGTGTTTAGCACGTTTATTTTGCCATATGGTAGAACTGAATTTTCTTATTTATTTATTTTTTAAAATCCTTTATTATTGATGTGCAAATAATAACATATAAGCTTGTAACGCCACAACAGCAGTGACAAGCATGGCGGTAACTACCAGTATGAAATATTAGCATAGCATTCAGAAACAAACTGCACAATTTTTGTATGGGTAATAACAGGATAGATCTCATAGCTGCACAACTTATGAGGTTGAAATAGGCCCAGTGCTCATGAGGAGGAACTGCGGGAGTATCCGATTGTAGCGCCTGCAGCCTGAGCTTGTGCTGGGCAACAGGTTCACCAGTGTCCGGTGAGTATAGCTGGAGTGCTGGGGCCGGGATAGCCCCCACCAGCAGGGGGAAGGGGCGGAGGGAGGGAAACCCGTAATGCATCAGCTTATTATCGGCCGCCTCTCCCACAGCCTCACTCCTAGCTAGATAAAGAAAACAGAAAAGGGTGCACCTTTGAGGAAAAAATATATAAGTAAAATAAATAAATATATAAAATATAAAAGATAGTGCAGGTAACTTAAAGCGGCACTGTCATGCCGAACTTACCTTTCCTCAATCTCTTCCTCTTCTCCCCCTCTCTCAGGATCTGTTATTCTTTTCTTCCTGTCTTCTTTAGTTTTTTTTAAAATCATAAGACAAAGTAGGGACTCTTTGCCTTATGGAGGATTCCTCCACTTGACCAGCTCTGACCAGCGGAGGAGCAAAGTGTGCTTCATTTCCGCTGGTCAGAGCAATTTTCCCATGATCCTTACCTTCCCTCTGTGTTCCCACGATGCTTCCTGTCATTTTACATGAAACTGCCGAATTGCGTTCTAACTGAATGAGAACAGTCTGTTAGTTTCTCTTAGAATGCAATTCGGCACTTTATTCGGATCGGAATTTCATTCTAATGAATGAAACTCTGATCCTATTCATTGCTGTGGCTGCATCTTGCAGCCGCTTAGTAGATAACTCCCTAATTCCCACGGTATCAGGGAGCTATCTACTAAAAGACTGAAAGACCTAAAATTGGTCTTTCAGCCACATTTACTAATACTAAGTAAAGTTTACTTAGTATTAGTAAATTAAATGCCCCTACTCGCTATACCGCGAGTAGGGGCATGTGTAGTAAGCAGTGAGCAGCATATAGCTGCTCACTGTAAAAAAAAAACAAAAAAAAAAAACTAATACCCCCCCCATGCCCGTGGGGGCCCGAAATAAGGATGGGGGGGGGACCTACTGTCCCCCCTGGCCCCCACCCCTGAGCGGTTGGTTGGGGCCCTAAATAAAGATATGGGGGGGAACTTCTGGCCCCCCCCGGCCCCCACCCCTGCGCGGTGGGTGGGGGCCCTAATAAAACAATAGGGGGGGGACCTAGTGTCCCCCCCCCCTGGCCCCCACCCCTGCGCGGTGGGTGGGGCCCTAATAAAACAATAAGGGGGGGGGACCTACTGTCCTCCCCCCCTGGCCCCCACCCTTGAGCGGTGGGTGGGGGCCCTAATAAAACAATAAGGGGGGGAGGGACCTACTGTCCTCCCCCCCCGGCCCCCACCCCTGAGCGGTGGGTGGGGCCCTAAATAAAGATATGGGGGGGGAACTTCTGTCCCCCCTGGCTATCGCGCGATTGGGTGAGGCCACTGTAAACAATAAGGGGGGGGCCTACTGTCCTCCCCCCCCGCCCCCACCCCTGCGCGGTGGGTGGGGGCCCCAGTAAAACAATAAGGGGGGGGGGACCTACTGTCCTCCCCCCCGGCCCCCACCCCTGAGCGGTGGGTGGGGGCCCCAATAAAACAATATGGGGGGGGACCTACTGTCCTCCCCCCTGGCCCCCACCCAGGGGTGGGGGCCCCTAATAAAACAATAAGGGGGGGGACCTACTGTCCTCCCCCCTCTGGCCCCCACCCCTGAGCGGTGGGTGGGGGCCCTAAATGAAACACCCCCCCCCAATCAAGGTGACTAGGGGTCCCAAGCCCCTAGTCACCAACCCCCCACCCAAAAAAAACTATCCCCTACCTACCCCCCTCACCCTACAAATAGTGAGGGGGGAATAAAATAACTAACCTGTAAAAAAAAAAAAATTAAACTTACCATTTGGCGTCTTCTTTTTTCTAAAATCTTCTTTCTTCAGCCCCCAAAAAGGCCAAATAAAAATCCATTACACCCGTCGCACTTTAAAAAAAAAACAAAAAAAAACGAGCGCAAAAAAAAATTAATCCATGTTCGCCCTTCGAGGGCACGCCGCATACTGAGCTCCACAGGGCGGGTCAAGGCTTATAAAGCCTTGCCCCGCCCTGCAATTAGGCTTAGAACACTCTGATTGGTGGGTTTAAGCCAATCAGAGTGCTCTGTGTCATTTTACACAGCATGGGAAAGTTCTTTTGAATTTTCCCACTATGTGTAAAATGACTCATAACACTCTGATTGGTTATCCACCAATCAGAGTGTTATGAGTCATTTTACACAGCGTGGGAAATTTCTTTTGAATTTTCCCACACTGTGTAAAATGACTCATAACACTCTGATGGCTCTGATGGCACACTTTCAAGCCACCCAATCAGAGTGCTCTGTGTCATTTTACACAGCATGGGAAAGTTCTTTTGAATTTTCCCACGCTGTGTAAAATGACTCATAACACTCTGATTGGCTTAAACCCA